CACGCCTATAACGAGTACCGATGCCGGTACTTGCGCTAGCATTAAACCGGCCTCCTGGGCAATCAGGAAGCTGGCTCGATTGCCCAGGAAGCCGGCTCCATGCTGATTGGCTGTGAAGCCGGCATCCAATCCAATCTGCATCGAGCCGGCTGTTTGGCTTCCTGATTGGCTTCCCAGCCAATCAGCATTGAGGCGGCCCAACAGCACGAAGCCGGCTTCCCGGCAAATCAGGAAGCCGGGCAGTGAGTCATTACCCGGTCAGAGGGAGATTTTCAGTAGAAGTTTCGCACCGCGTGTTTTTTTCACCTGCAATCGTCCACGATTGCCCTGGTGGAATCGCGGCCGGAGACCTGGCGCGACTGGGGTGCCGTTAGAAAAAAAAGATCAGCAGTGGCGTGCGATTCCGTGACCGTGCATGATTGCCGGTCACGGATCGCCCAAGTGTGAACCTGGCCTAAAAGTGCCGCTCTGTTATCATTCTCTTGTAGGCTGCATTCACACCTAAGTGACACCTATTACGCGCGGTTTTTCACGTTTATGTTAAGTTGTGCGTTTTTGTGAGCTGATTTTGGCACATTCATGTGAATAGGCAAACGTGCGTAAAACTATCTAATAGCCGCAAAGCGCGCTTAAAATATGCCCCCAAAGTAGCTCATGTACTATTTTGCGCCACGGGCGTCAAAACGCGAAGGTGTGAACAGGGGCCATAGAAAAGTACGGGATTCCTGGGGGTTAAGCTTTTTGTCTGAATCGGCTGCAACAAAACACCTCGGTGTGAACGGGGCCGTAACCTGCCAATAAGACAAGACTGGAAAATGTTTTGTATCTGATCTTTGTGTAGTAAAATAAATTGAAAACTACAGCTAAAGGGGTGAGACTTCCTGGTAATGGTCACGTTCGGAACTCAACTGAGATCTTGCAGCCACGGCCGGATTTACTCTCTTTGCTGCCCCGATGCCAGGTTCCTCAATGTGCCCCCCTGTATGCAGGCTGCATACAAGTGATCTTGGCGACATCGCCAAGGTCACTTGTACAGAACGAGCGGCGGCTTCCCTGCTGTACATTTAGCTCTGCTTGCCCAAAGCCGGGCTAAATGAAGAAAACAACTACCCGCCCGGCGCCTGGAACTGCATGTCCCAGGTATCGGGAGATAGGAATTCCACACCCCTGCTGCCCCTCTACTCCCTGCTGCCCCTCTACTTCCTGCCACCCCTCTACTTCCTGCTGCCCCGAGGCTGGGCCTCGGCTGGCCTTGTGGGAAACCCGGCCCTGCTTGCTACCAGAGTCAGCCAGTTTTATGAGGCACCTGAGGATGAACTCTCTTGTTGACATTTTGTTTGGAATTACTTGAAAGTTGCTTTATTATAGTTTTTTTTACTTGGAATATAAAATTTTGTCTATTTATGGGAGAAAATCGGAACCGTATTTATATTTACTGCTGTTTGTATTCTGCATTAAAGGTAAACTCTAATGGTTTTGGAACAAATTTGGTTTAATTTTTTCTTTTAATTCTATACACCTTTAAACTATTTTTTTGGTCATATGTATATAAAATCTTTAATTTACAAATAAAGATGTAAAACGGGTCACAACCGTGGCACTGGGGGGCCACAGAGTATTACGAGTAAGCAAAAGCAGAAGATGTTTGCTTTCAGACTGTCTCTCTCAAACTGAATCTGCATATTGCCCGTCTAAACAGAGCAGGCAGGGAGAGGACGAGGGGACGGATGCTTCTTTGTGATCCAGGATGCCTAATATAGGGTCAGATTAGGAAACTTGTGGGCAACATTTTCTTTTCACGACAAACAAAAGTTACATTTTGCTCACACTAAGGTGATTCGGGTGAATTCGGATGATGAGACATGACCCATTTAATAAGTGGGGGGGGGATATATTGGGCAGCAAGTGAACATTTTGTCTCTGAAGTTGATGAGTTGGAAGCAGAAGTAATGGACAAGTGTGAGGATTTGAGGGACTTTAACAAGGACCAAATTGTGATTCTATATCACTGGATCAGAGCAACTCCAAAACTGCAGCTCTTGTGGGATGTTCCTGGTCTGAAATGGTCAGGACCTAGGAAGGAAAGCCAATGTACTGGCAACAGGGTCATGGGCAGCAGAGGATCATTGATGGCAGTGGGGTGGGAAGGCTGGTCACTGTAGTCCGATCCAATAGAAGAGCTTCTGTAGGTACGATTGCTGGAAAAGTGAATGTTGGTTCTAAAAGAAAGGTGTCTGAACACACAGAGCATCGCAGGTTCTTATGTATGGGGCTGTGTAGCCGCAGACCAGTCAGGGTGCCCATGCTGACCCGTGTCCACCACCAAATATGCCTACAATGGGCATGTGAGCATCAGAACTGGACCACAAAGCTATGGAAGAGGGTGACCTGGTCTGAATGATCACGTTTTTTAACATCATGTGGATGGGCGGGTGCGTGTGTGTCGCTTACCTGGGGAAGAAATGGCACCAGGATGCACTATGGGAAGAAGACAAGCCGGCGGAGGCAGTGTGATGCTTTGGGCAATGTTCTGCTGGGAAACCTCGGGTCCTGCCATTCATGTGGATGTTACTATGACACGTACCACCGACCTAAACATTGTCACTGACCAATTACACCCCTTCATGGACACGGTATTCCCTGATGGCAGTGACCTCTTCCAGCAGGATAATGCGCCCTGCCACACTGCAACAATGGTTCAAGAATGGTTTGAGGAACACAACAACGAGTTTGAGGTGATGACTTGGCCTCCAAATTCTCCAGACCTCAATCCAATCGATCATCTGTGGGATCTGCTGGAAAAACAAGTCCGATCCATGGAGGCCGATCACCTCACAACTTACAGGACTTAAAGGATCTGCTACTGACGGCTCGGTGCCAGATACCACAGCACACCTTCAGAGGTCTAGTGGAGTCTATCCCTGGATGGGTAGGGCTGTTTTGGCAGCAAATGGGGGACCTACATAATATTAGGTGGGTGGTCATAATGTTATGGCTGATTGGGGTAAATTCCAGGTGCGCCAAAAGAAAAAGAGTGCAAAATCCTACAGTTCACTTTATTTAGAAAGCAGCCACAGCCCTGAGTAGAAAAGCCTGCTGCAGAGAAGCACACCTTGCTCTCTGTGTGGAAGCAGTGATCCCTCTCGGCTCAGGCCCGACACCAAAGAGCTGGAAGCATAAAATTTGCTGATTGCAGAGCTTTAGCTCCGCCTTGGCAGGGGTCATGTTGGTACACTACTTCCACACGGAGAGCAAGGGTCCTTATCTGCACCATGCTGGGAGGGGACTGCAATTCCTATAAGAACCTAACATTTATATAAACAAGCGGGAGCGGGATGGAAATGAATGAGAACAACAAGAAAAGGCAGACACGAGTTTAGAGATTCACACATTTTATTTGTATTATGTTCTCTGCTTTGACTAGAGCTTTTCCTTCAGAGGGAACATCTGCCTCTTTAATGGCCCTCCAGGCCAGTGACCTATATCAATGGCTGGCTTCTTATATCTCTCGAGGAATCCAGTTTTGAGATCTCCTCAATGGAGGTACCAGCTCTGCTTCCCCTCATTTCTCCTGAAGACTCGCCTCTTCTGCAGTAAAAGGGGTGACTGGCCCAATCACTCCTTGCTGTAAGCTCCCAAATGTTAAAGCTACTCTGTCACCTACCAGAATTTTTGGAGAAAAAAGTTGGATTCAAAAGAAGATGCTTTATATTTACCGGTCTGGTCGGCATCCAATCTTCACTCTCTTCGAGAACTATGGCCGCTAAAGAGTTTTCTGTATCCAACACAGTTCTGGGAGTGTAGGATGCCTTGTCCCCTGCTCCATGTGCGTTCCACCCATTTGGCTTTTACATCACAACAGGACACAGTAGCTATATAGAAGCCAGTGGACGGAACCATAGAGTGCAGTGGAGACCAGGACTATGACACTCTCGGAAGGGTTGAATGCCAAAGAGTCTTAGGAAGTGTAAGGTATCTAGGTCCCCTGCGCATGTGCGTGGTCCCATTTTTCGTACCATAGGAAAAATGGGCAATTGCACGCATGCGTGCGCATTGGGACGTGCTAATCTGGCGCACAGGAAGTGATGCAGTACCTCTGAATTGATCTTCCTATTTAAAGCAAGCACAGTCTGGGCTTAGTTGCTGGATGGTCTTTCAGCTTGTCCATGTGATCCTGTTTGCTCTGCTTGTTTGCTGCTCCTGCATCTTGACCCGGATTGAACTTTACTGCTCCTGAATGCTGCTTGCCTTCTGACCTTGGAATTGTTACTGGACTTTGCCTCTGCCTCATCCCTTGTACTTCACTGCCCGATTGGTGTGACCCCTGGCTTGCCTGACCTCGATTCTGCCTTTTGCTCTGGTACCCTGCTGCCCGCCTGGTGTGACCTCGGCTCTACCCGATCCAGATCCTGGACTTCTGCCTGGCACGGTGTTGCCCCATCCACTGGCTGCTATACTGAGCCGACCTGTGACAGTCTCATTGTCACAGGTCGGCTAGAACTATGAGGTGAGTGAAAAGCACTCACCTCATAGTTCTCCTTTAAGCATCTGCTTTTGAATGCAATGTAAAAAAATTCTGGATAGCAACAGAATCACTTAAAACCAAATAGGCCGAAAATATCAATGGGGGTTGGTTAGCCCCTTTCACAGCTGCATCGAAAGTGGAATAGCTGGAACCTCCGGGGTGAGGATCTCACCAATGGACTCCCCGAGAAATACAAATGGTTGGTATTGAATTCCGCTTGTTCATTTCATGTTTATGTAGCAGACATAAAAGATTTATCCATCCAAATCTTAATTTTAACTGAACCTTTTACGTCTGCTACACAAAATATAGGACTTTTTGAAGGTACTTTGGGAAAAAACATTGGTGGTCAAACAATTCTTCGTCCCTGACTCTATGTTGGCCAATAAAATTTGTCACAGATGGCAGAAATCTTGTCCAAAGCAGAGACAGGAAAGAAGAAATGTGACTTGGCCGGAGGGGTAAACTTTTTGTTTCATTTCCAGTTATCCAGAACAATTTGCCTAACTAGCTCTGACCCTGGGAAGTCCGTTATGACAATGCCCATTGACCTCGTCCTTCCTACTGATGACTTGGTGTTCAGGAAGCCAAGCACTCTTGGGTTAATCTTGCGAGCCAGTGATTCCGGTGTGTAGAGGAGCCAGTGGGTTCCTGAGCAGTAGGTCAGGTAAGCTCTTTCTGGGTCACCGTTTTGGGCTACCTTGAGATGTCTCTCCACTTCTGCCCACTTAACAGCATCATCGCTAACTTGATATTGATCTGAGATGCTCATACGACCAGGATATGGAGGACCAAAGTCAGGACCTTCTCCTTTGGATGAAAATTCTTGAAGGACGATAATCTTCCCCCTGGCTTCTCCTAAGGTGGGGAGGCTACTACTTCTTAGGAACCATTGTTCTCCGATTTGGCTCACAACTTCGGCTACACTCTGGTAGTAGCTCCTGGTGTTCTCATATGGTTCATACTCCTCCTTCACTCTCATCAGCACTGTTTCGCTTGGATGCTCCGTCAGAAAGGTAACCGTGTCCCTGAGGACTTGGTCGAAGTAGACACGTTGGTAGGACACTCCATGGAAAATAGGAAGACTGTTTTGGTAATGACGTGGCCGGATGTCCAAAAACCTAACTCCGGCACTGAACTGGTTTAGTAGACCCCAGCTCTGGCATTCTGCGAGAGGTCCACCAAAAAAGGCCATAGTGTCGTGGGTCCCTGGTATGGCCAAGGAGGAGAGGGGGAGGCTATCTGGGAGATAAGACATCCAGTCTGGCATGGTGACTGAGGGAGCATCTGTCCGATCGAAGGCTGGAGTCTGTTCACCAAATGCTCCTACAACCTGCCGATAAATCACACGTAAGGCTTTTGTAACATTAGATAAATATAAAGTCATATGTAAAATGATCAAATAAAATGTAACTAAAACAAAAAACTTTTTAAATTCTGAATAGAGTGTGGTCAGGTGTTAGATTTTTTGCTGCTTGTGTGCTATTCAGCAGATTTCCCTTTACTTCCTGTCCCGGAGAAACAAGAGAGTGAAAAATATCTCTACAATGGAGAAATACCTCTTACACCGTTGTTACCAGAACAGGTGTCCTCATTGGAAGACTTCCCTTCACTTCCTGTTGCTGACAATTGTAACATTTTGGATTTCCCATCACTTCCTGGCACTGGGGCAATGGTCACCAGAATATACCATATAGAGATGGGTGCCCATTAGGTCGATCGCGATCTACCAGTCGATTGCAAAGCAAACACTGGCAGATCGCGATCGGCTCACTGACCAGAGCTCCCTCCGGTGGTGCTAGTGCGGCTGAATGAGCCAGACACTGCAGACAGGAAGGGGCGGGACACCTCTCCCCGTCTGCAGCTTTGGCCACACTATTACCAGTGCGGGGCGGGACACCTCTCCCCGTCTGCAGCTTTGGCCACACTATTACCAGTGCGGAACGGGACACCCCTCCCCGTCTGCAGCTTTGGCCACACTATTACCAGTGCGGAACGGGACACCCCTCCCAGTCTGCAGTGTTGGCCACACGAGCACCGCAGGAGGACAGGACAGCGCACATGAGAGGAGACCTGGGAAGCTGCTGCAGTGCAGGTAAGGAAAGACAGCCAGGAGAGTGAAAAGACAGCAGAGTGAGAGAGAAAAAGAGAAGAGACAGCAGAGAGAGAAGAGACAGGAGAGAGAGAGAGAGAGAATAGACAGGTGAGAGAGAGAAGAGACAGGTGAGAGAGAGAAGAGACAAGAGAGAGAGAGAGATAAGACAGGAGAGAGAGAGAGAGAGAGAGAGCGAGAGAGAGATAAGAGACAGGTGAGAGAGAGAAGAGACAGGAGAGAGAGAGAAGAGACAAGAGAGAGAGAGAGAGAGAGAGAGAGATAAGAGGGGGGGAGAGGGAGGGGAGGGGGGGGAGAGGGGGGGGAGAGACAGCAGAAAGAGAGAGAGAGAGAGAGAGAGAGAGAAGAGACAGGGGAGAGAGAGAAGAGACGGGAAAGAGAGAAGAGACAGCAGAGAGAGAAGACAGGAGAGAGAGAGATTGGAGAGACAGCAGAAAGACAGAGAGAAGAGACGAGAGAGAGGAGAGAGAGAGAGAAGAAACAACAGAGAGAGATACAGTCGATCAATCATAATTAGGAAGAGATGTTGAACGTTATTTTTACGTATCACAATTCCGTTACCACCGCACAATCCATGGAAGAGCATCTCCTGAACTTCTGGTTTCTCCGGTATGAGCAGCGCACGTGTAATATGGACATGTGCACTGCTCTCCTCACGTTATCACTGCCAAGATTCAGCGTGCCTGCATGCTCCAATGCGCATGCATGCCCGACTCCGTTCCTGGTCCCTCTGTCACACAAGAAGGCCATAGGGTGGGGCTGTCATGCACGGGCCAATTTCACATGGCAAAGAGCTGTTACGTGCCGGCACTGGCTGTGTTGGCACGTAGGAAACTTGTCCTTACCGTGAATACACCAAGGAGGGGAGGCAACATCCCGCAGGAAGGGAGCACCATGTAGCATCAATGTAGCCACACTCATAATGATGTGAAGAATGTTTGCATATATTTTTTGGCAAACACATTCTGACATTCAATTCATGTTCCCACAAAGGGTAGGAGGGGAGTTGCTGTGTAAGGCCCCTTTCAGGTGGTGGTGGTGGTGGTCTGATCAGAAGTCCAATGTTAGTCTATGAGCAGCTGAATCTAAACGGACCTGCACCCATTTACATCTAATGACCCCCGACTCTGCCCAGGTCCGGAAACCAAACAAGAATTTAATTTTGGAAGACCTGATTGTGACAGATCCGCGGAAATCTGATGTAAATGGTCACATGTCTGCTTAATCCGACTCCCCATAGACCTAACATGGTGAGTTCAGTTCAGTGACATCCATTCTGTACTTCTCCGGTCAGCAGGGGATCTCTGCATGGATCCCGCTGCTCATCAGAACCTGTGTGAAAGGGGCCCGATAACTGATTCTTGTAACAGTGTTTATACACAGTGCTTAGACGCATGATAGAGAGATACAAAGTATCATTATTGTTAGGGATGCACCGATACCGATACCGATACTCGTACTCCCCTAATGTTCCGATACTTACCTCCGATACCGGAACTTCCCATCAGAGGGAGATCTCTGTGTGTCTCTGAGGACTCTCTGACCGGCAGTCCCCGAAGGAGCATGGAGCCGGCTTCCTTTCCCATCAATTTTCGGACCGAAACCGAAAATAAAAAAAATTCTCAGGCCGAAACTGAAAACAAATTTTTTTTTTCCTAACCTTTAAAAACATTTTTTTTTAAATATTTTATTTTTATTTCTAAACTTTTGAAAATAATTTTTCTAATATTACATT